ATATTTCGATAGTGTACGTTCCAAGGAACATTTTAGTACCAAAAATTTGCGAGTAACAAATTCTATACATGTAAATTTTTTTCATAACGTTGCGACGCGCGACAATGCAGTTTTGATTATTTATCGGAATTTGTTTAACAATGTGATTTTTTCGATATTTTTTTGCACTATCCTAGAGCAACAAAAAAGCAACAAAATCTGGTGCATTTGTTTTTTTTTTATTTCGCAGCTCTATATATATTTTTTCATTATGGGAGGGTCCAGCTTTATGTTAACCTGGACCCCCCCCCATTTTTTTTTATTGCTGCTAAACGGTTGGAGCAACAAAATTCGCTCTAGAGCAACTAATTAGCAACAAAAGAGCACTAAATTTTTGACCTATCGCGAATTTGATTTTCGATGGTGGGGGGTCCAGGTTAATGGGGGTGAAAATATTTCTGTTTCTAATAAAGTTGATCATTACATAATTATATCGCTCATTTGCTACGATAACATAACTAAAAACTTGTCAGTTTTTAGTTGCTTGCAGAAAAAAAAGGGAAACATCAAGAAAAGAAAGAAATAGGACATACTTTTATCTTTTTACAATCAGTTATTCAAAATTGTATTTCAAAATTACCAATACAAAATTTTTATGATTCAAAGTATTTATATTCATTTTCTGGAAAACTTTGTTTTTTGAGCTGTATCGTTGTTGTAACAAAGAGCGACATGTTTTGTTCACACATAAATTTATATATATCTAAATTATATTTAATTTATAAATATTTAAACTTCAAATAATCATTTTTCAATGGATGTGGATATTCTTTAAAATTTATGAAATTTGCCCATATTGCGGTAGTCTCACAAGTTTCTGTCAGCGTTTTATTTAAATTGAATTTATTTTCTTATATGATAAGATTTTCGGACGAGATGGAGCTTCGTCATGCCTTTAACGTAACCGGATGTGGACGAATTCTACCGGAAGATGAGGTTCCTGGATATAGATCAGCAGTGGACGAATTGACACGTGATTTCAAGCAACTAGCCACTATGCTTCTTACCGTAATATATATATATATATATATACACACACTATAGTATATATATAATCCTTGTCTTATTTAATAATTACAATTTGTTTGCATATATGAATTTAATTTCTAAATTCTTTTTATTATTTTATCTCTTTCTGCGAACATTTTTGCTCTATTATTATCATTTTATTTATTTTTTCGCGGTAAGAGTGAAGAATCTTGCTGTTTGATCTTTGAATTTTAACTCTGTGACTTCAACGAGGGTTGTGTAGCCACCATATAGAATGAAAAACTCTGTTTGCCGCAGGCTCTATCTATGGGTTTGGAACAATCCCACGACTTCCTGTTGTCGAAGCACGCGCACATACTCGGCCCTGACAACGCATCCACCCTGCGTCTCCTCTATTATCCGCCACTCGGTACACCGGTACAAGGACTGACCCGATGCGGCGCCCATTGCGACTATGGCACTTTCACTTTGTTGGCGCAGGTATGCAGATTGCGGGATTACATTACACGCTTGAAACTTACTGCCTGTTATAGTCCGTCCACTACAAGGCTACAAGATCGTAAATAATTTTCTGAAAAATCCTTTTCACGATGCTCTACATGTAACGTATCATAAATTCTACGTATCTTTACAATTTCATCGAAACTGACAGAGATATCTCAGCACGTTTATTCGCGCAATACAATGCGCAATTGTTTCACGATAAGAGGCTCTAACCACTATCAAATAAAATGTGAAGTTATTTAGAAGCGTCGAGAAGGCATTAGGCAAGAATTAAAAGATAATAAATTATTAGACATTAAACAGAAATGATTTAAATACAGTATATCGTAAGCTGCGATTGAAGAATATCAAGTCGATATAAAAGTAACAATGTATTATGCACAGTATACATTTATATGTACAGATCGCTACTAGTTACAAATTATTAATAATTATATTCTTCTATAATTGCAAAACGATAAAATATTTTCAGGACTGCGAGGGTGGCCTTGAAATTCAAACTGGAGAAAGATGGGCTAGAGTAGGTCATCTCCCAGGCGCCATATTAGTGAACACTGGCGAGTTATTGGCACACTGGACCAACGGGCAGCTTCCAGCACTCAGACATCGCGTTGTTATGCCGGAACACTGTGGTCGCGGCCGTCATTCCATCGCTTTCTTTGTACATCCAGACGACAATGTTCCTATCGAGCCGTTAGATACAAAGATCACCATAGCCAACCAAGAAACAACTCTTTGCCGTCTCCAGAAAAAGAAACGTAGCGTCCTCACGGCGTATCAGCATCTTCAACGTCGTTTTCGCGAGACTTACGCGTCTTAATATGCTGTATGCCAGCCTGAATATTCTGTCAGACTGACCTAATGGATCAAAAAACCGAAAACTATAAGTCTTTGTACGCTCGTCGAGTTGGAGCAAAAATAAAATTTCGCGGAAATTCGGAAGAGGTCGATTTTACGAGCAGTGAAATTAAGATCACCATAAGCTACATTTTGAAATGTGACCAACATATCTTGCTGTATATTGCTTGACACATACTATAAAAAAATGTTAAAAAGTATTACGCATAATATCCATTCCATTTAAGGTGAACAAAGGACAAGATCACCGATAACTTTTAATTCTGATTAACGGCATAGCTTGGCTGTCTTAATTTCACGATTTACACGTTCAAGAGTCGGATACCCTTACGAAGCGAAATTATGAAACTGAATGTCAAAGATGTAAAAAGAATGTGAAAGAAAATTGCGATTCTCAGACAATAATAAATAAATTTGTACTTAATTCAGAAATATTTCCATTATTCCTGTACCTAATAACTAACTCGAATGAAGAGAATATATTATATATTGTTTTGCTTCATTTAATCTTGCAATCTTTGAAATTGTTTAGAATCCGGGATCCCAGTCAGTTTCTTGTGGTTTCTGATACGTTTGGTAACAAATTAAAATGTCCCCAGTTTTGAAAGACAATGTCGGATCTTCGAATCTCAAACCGCATTCTACATCAGTCTTGATTGTTTCTGTTTCATTTTTCATATGTCTCATTGACACCAATTTTCCTAAAAAAATAAATGTAAATGTCATTTCATTTCTCTTTCAGGATTTTCCCTTTCTCATTCAAGAATTTTTACCAGCAAAGAGAACTTCTTGTTCACGCATCAATCGGTACATTGCATTTTTCTTGAGATTGCCTTTGATGCACCGACAACCCGCAACCTTTACTTTCTTTTTTTTATCTGTGATTTCGAACTCTTGTAATACATTTGCTTCACCTGTAAGGAAATCAATGGTCAAGATAAATATGATTACTACTGTGACTCATGCTCTCTCATACCTATTATTTCTTCGGCGTCAACCGATGGAAGTCTCATATTTATCTCCTTTTTAACATCGTTAATGAGCTTATATATCACATTGTATGAACGGATTAATATCTTTTTTTCATTAGCTTCCTGTTGCAAGTTTTTCATTACGCCAACGTTAAAAGAATATATGATGGCTATAAATATTTCATGATATTGAGGTTTATAGAGAATAATACTAATCGATATGTATAGTCTTACCATTAAATATGTCTGCCATTTGTAAATCTGTCTCTGAAACAGGTCCGACGCCATAATGAACGACACTTAATTGACATTTGTCGTCACTCCCATAACTATTAAAAACGTCTAATATAGCTTCTACAGAGCCAGCGACATCACTTTTTATGATAACGTTAAGTTTAGGTTTCTCATCATCAGGACTTTCATTTTTAACAGGTGTTGATAGCTTCGTGTATCTGCCAAGTGCTCTTCTCTTTGCCAGATGTTCCTTATATTCCTATAATTATCGAATAATAAAGTGTCAAACAAGGTCAACAATTATAAAAAAGCTTACTTTCAGATATTCTTCATGCTTTTTGTCCGCTGCAATTTTATGTTTCTGCGCCAGCTGTGTAGCTTTTTCCGCTTCTCTGTATCGCATTACTGTGCGTGCTTTCTTCTCATTTTCAACTTCTAGTATTTCATCTCCGGCAGTAGGTAAATCCTTCCATCCGATAATCTGTACCGCATCGGATAATTTGGCTTCCGTAACTGGATTTCCGGAATGGTCGAACATAGCTCTTACTTTAGCCCACGCTAATCCGCTCACTATCATCAAACAAAAATATTAGATTAACATTTCGAAATTATTAAATTGTCTAGGAGCAAAAAAAATAGATTTATGCAAAACTTTTCAAGGACTCGTTTTGTGAAACTAAATTAATTATTTTTCTGAAGAAATTGTTTTTCTATATCTTTCTTTATCTTTAATATTTGAGACGAAATATTTTGCTTTTACCAAGGTATGCACCCTTCCTCAGAGTACCACGTTGAATTAAAGCTGTCGCTAATTTGCCACGTTGACGATCGATGAAACATTCAATTATGACAGCTTCGACTAATCCCGTTGGATCACCCTTTAATCCCACGAGTTCGGCTTGTAATGCTATAGCCTCCATCAAGGTACCCAAGTTGGTTCCGTGTAAAGCTGATACATTGACGCTCTGAATGTCCCCGCCCATTGCCTCCACTTGAATTCCCTGTTGCGCAAGCATCTTTTGTGTTCTTAGCTAAAATACATACATTATAAACTATGTTGCTCTATTATTAATGATTCTATTGATCATTAAAATGAATGTTAAAATCACATACAATATCGGCTTCTGGTTTATCGATTTTGTTGATAGCCACGATAATCGGGACATTCGCTGCTCTTGCCATATTTATACTTTCTATGGTTTGTTCCATCACACCGTCGTCTGCTGCAACCACTAGTACTATAATATCAGTTACTTGCGCGCCTCTCATTCGCATAATATTAAAAGCGGCATGCCCAGGAGTATCCAAAAATGTAATTGTTTCTCCCGTTTCCAACGTCACTATTAATTGGGATATTAGAAAAAACTTGTTAACACATAACATATGTGATGATGAATACGATAAGATTATATTATTTACCATTGAAAGCCCCAATATGTTGAGTGATACCACCAAACTCCATTTTTACAACTGATGTATTACGTAATGTATCTAATAATGTAGTTTTGCCATGATCGACATGGCCCATAATTGTTACTACTGGACGACGTTTTATTAGTATAGATTCATCCGGTAGAGGCCTGGTAAATAAAATATAAACAAAATATAAACAATACAAACTCTATCGATCTTATCTTATATTTGATTAAGTCCTGTTTCCACCAATGTAAATTAACTTTAATCTCGGTTCAACTTATTCTTTATCCTTTTCTAATTTTTAGAACTAGAAGCTAAAATGTAAGTTAAACTAAGATTAAAGTTAATCTGTATTGAAATAAACATGGATACAATATAGTTAGTTCAATTATTAGTACCTTTTAACAACATTACAGTCCTGTGTATTCTTTTCCATTTTGCTATCTGGTCTAGATATCACTTTAAACTTTGCCCCAAGTTTTCGAACAGTATTGTACAATATATTCGGATCCTCTACAATAGTATTTTTATTGTAATGTCCAAATGAATCAGAAAGAGAAATTGCATGCATGACATCATTTATATCCCTTCCTGTAGATGCTGCCAGTTCTAATACAGTCATTTGGTTCCATATATCCACGACTGGCAAACGTTTTTTTGGTTTGATTTGAGTGAAAGCGTTCAGCTGTTATAAATGATTTTAAATTTTGATATCATACTATCTAAAAATTAAATGCTTACATATAGAGCATTCAGTGATTTTATAAATTTAAAATTGTACCTTTTTCTTTGATGTCTTGAAATATTGTGGTGTTGTATGGTAATGCTGGCATTGCGTACGGCATTGTGTAAGGAGCAAACCATGAAAGTTGTATTTCCTTACATCATCGCCTTTGACAATATCACAGAATAGCTGCCTCAGTAAACTGCAAATTGTAATATAAAATTATTACAGAAAATATACTCTCCATTAAATTATAACATATATTTATATTATGCAAGTTATCGCGTTATGGTTTTACATTTTTAAAGGGTAAAAAAAATTGACTGTACAGTGTAGAAGGTTATGTTTCTCTTTTATAAGGATATTTTAATTTCTTAAATATACATACTGTGCAGCAAATCTCGAAGATGCGACTTTGATCATTGTGACAATGTCTTCAGGAAAAGAATAATCACCTAAATTTTGTATATGTTCTGATCAAGGAAGTAGCCATGTTTACGTCGGCCGTTGATTACACAAGCCACTACCGGCTTAAAGCTGGTTCTACAATGGCTGCGTTCAGCAGACTCAACAGTTTTGCAACCGTTTTATGATTGTCTGCTGAGATAGGACCATTCTTCTAGATCTAAAAGTATGATCCAATTAGCGCGAAGGAAACTTACAACAGTTGCAAAACAAACGTTCTGCTGAACGCAGCCAATCATAAAACGGTTGCAAAACTGTTGAGTCTGCTGAACGCAGCCAATCATAAAACGGTTGCAAAACTGTTGAGTCTGCTGAACGCAGCCAATCATAAAACGGTTGCAAAACTGTTGAGTCTGCTGAACGCAGCCAATCATAAAACGGTTGCAAAACTGTTGAGTCTGCTGAACGCAGCCAATCATAAAACGGTTGCAAAACTGTTGAGTCTGCTGAACGCAGCCAATCATAAAACGGTTGCAAAACTGTTGAGTCTGCTGAACGCAGCCAATCATAAAACGGTTGCAAAACTGTTGAGTCTGCTGAACGCAGCCAATCATAAAACGGTTGCAAAACTGTTGAGTCTGCTGAACGCAGCCAATCATAAAACGGTTGCAAAACTGTTGAGTCTGCTGAACGCAGCCATTGTCTGCTGAGATAGGACCATTCTTCTAGATCTAAAAGTATGATCCAATTAGCGCGAAGGAAACTTACAACAGTTGCAAAACAAACGTTCTGCTGAACGCACCCATTGATTGCATCGCAGCGTCGCAAGTGTTGCAGTCCAATCAGAGTCGAGCTAGCTTGACGTTGATTGGACCGCAGCGCTTGCGACGCTGCGATGCAATTAATGTAGAACCAGCCTTAAGGCCATCACACGTACAAAAATTTTAGTCGTAATCGTAAGTCCGTAAGCAAATCGGCCAATCACAGTCGAGCGTTTTTAAACGCGAGATCGTAATTTTGATTGTGATCGATCGATTTGCTTGCGATCTTACGATTACGACTAAAATTTTTGTACGTGTGATGGCCTTTACCCCGGATCTACAATAAGCTTTTAAGTCTTAAGCCATAAGAAATGGGCGAATCACAGTCGAGTATTCTCTTCGAATTCAACTGTAATTGGTCAATTTCTTACGGCTTATAGCTTAAAACACTTATTGTAGATCCGGACTTACTAAGCTTACTTTGTCAACTTTGAAAAATTGAAGGATTTGTAATTCTTTGTGTCAGCAGAAACTAGAAAGAAATTTGAGAGTGGCCATTTCGACCTTTTTCGTGTGACGCTCAAAAAACCTTCATTTACTAACGTCACCAACATCATTTTAAGAAAATTACGTGATACATTATCAACTACGCCGATAAAGTAATGTCGAAAATTGATGCGAGTCTGTGTTAAATCGAAAATTTATGTAGAACGAGTCCGTGCTATATCCATTGAAATGTATGCCGATATTCAAGCCATAAGGTGCAGCCACTATAGAAGGAATAAGGAATAACGATTTCAACTTATCAGAAATCGGATACATCAGAATACACGGTTTCTGATAGGTTGAAATCGTTATTCCTTAAACCTTATTCCTTATTCCTTCTATTGTGGCTGCACTCTTATATTTAAGGCTTCCTTAAATTTATCTTCAGATGCTCTACGAATTATTTCATTGGCTACTGAGAATCTAAAGATAAATTTAAGAAAGCCTTAAGTACAAGGTCTGACTATGGCCGTGGTCCGATTTATGCTGACAACGCCCATGAGCATTATTTGTCTTCGTTCAACATTTGACAAACAACAAGGATGAAATAATTTTTAAGCGTCGTGAGCGTGAATCGGACCGCGACCTAGGGCTGGTATTCATAATCAGTTCTTATATTCAAGACCGTCTTAAGGTCAGTCTTGAGATGTCACGAACCAATCAGAGGGCTGTATTAACATCTTAAGACATTAGCTGCGTTCAGCAGACTCAACAGTTTTGCAACCGTTTTATGATTGTCTGCTGAGATATCGTTTTGATTGTCTGCTGAGATAGGACCATTCTTCTAGATCTAAAAGTATGATCCAATCAGCGCGAAGGAAACTTCCAACAGTTACAAAACAAATGTTCTGCTGAACGCAGCCATTACTTAAGACGGTCTTGAAATAAGATCTGACTATGAATACCGGCCTAGGAATACGGGCCATAGGGTTTGCTCGCGTCGCATGCTCCAACATGTTCCGATATGCTCCTACTATAGCTCGTACTCACTTCAACACGCTTGATAGAATGAGTACGAGCTATGGTAGGAGCATGTTGGAACTTGCGACGCGACAAACTTATAAAGGCCATTCTACATCGGTCGTATCGTAGCGTCGGAAGCGTCGTAAGCATCATACGACTTTGAAATTGAAGCATCGGATTGGCTCAAGCAACAAACTTGTGACTTGCGACGTCTACGATACGACCAATGGTCGTATAAAGAATGGCCTTTATACTACTGCAATGAGCGCTGGTGCTAGTTTTGCGATCCGACAAAGAGCGTTTCAAGTGGTATCTTTATCCTTTTCTAACCTATACTTAGCTATGACTGCGCATGTGCAATACCGTCTACTGCACAATTATAACTGAGTGCAGGTTGGAAAAGGATAAAGATACCACTTGGAATGCTCTCTCTCTCTCTCTCTCTCTCTCTCTCGGATCACTGTTAACAAAAGCGACGTGGGGCCGCGCTCGTTCCAGTGTTATATTTCAGTGACTACATCTACTAATATTACTAATATATTACTAATACCATTAATATATTAATAATATATTAGTGGTATTAGCAATATATTACTAATATATTAGTCAATTAGTGGATATAGCACGGACTCGTTCTACATCTTCTTCTTCTTCTTCTTAATTAATGGCTCCCGCCTCCAGACATATAAAAAGGAGGTCGATACGGCCAACTCGTTCTACATCAATTTTCAATTTAGCAGACTCGCATCAATTTTCAACACTGCTTTATCGGCATAATCGATAATGTGTCACATAGTTTTCATAAAAATGATGTTGGTGGCGCTGGCGTACGGGGACTTTCGAGTGTCACACAGATAAGGCCGAGATGGCCGCTCTCAAGTTTCTCTCTGCTCTACGATTCTTTACGAATAGTTCCGAAGTTTCCGACATAACGCGAATTTGTTCCATCGTCGATAGATGTCGTGCGCAGTCCGCCGGCGGTCGGAATTAGATCGTAAATGTCATTAGTGATATGCGATAAATACATATGATATTATATCGTTGATGACTCTTTCATCGTCAACGTCACGTGTCACGGTCTCCAGTGCGACGTTGCTTTCCTTGAATGGGCGATATACTTTAGCTTATCTGACTTCGCATACCATTTTCACGTTACTGCGGTCAGTTACGGCAACATTCACGTCGCTTAAATCGCTGTCATCGCTGTGCGACCAGTGCGATAGTGTCGCCTGTGTATGTGTGTGTGTGTGTGTATGTGTGTGTGAGCGACCGAATCTCGCATTGCAGTTCGAAAGAGGACAGTGTGTGTGTGGATGTAGAGAGTCCGACGTCCGATATACGAGTCATAACCTCGATACACTAGAGGTTTGTTCGCGTCGCAAGCTCCAACATGCTCCTACCATAGCTCCTACTCACTCTATTAAGCGCGTTGGAGTGAATAAGAGCTATGGTAGGAGCATAATGGAACATGTTGGAGCATGCGACGCGAACAAACCTTATGAAAAGGGAGGAGAGTTGCCAATCTTGCACTCTCGCACAGTCGCGAATCCAATCTTGACTTCTTTGGGGGAACCACGTGGCCCATCCGGACTACCCGGAGGGAGTGACAGTGGGTATTCGACCGTGCGCGAAAGTTGACGTATGTCGAGGTGTTTTCTCCACAGATTCGTTGATTTCGTGAAAACAGATCGTGACGCGCAGCTGCGCGCCTCTGGAACAGCTTTGGGAAATAAACGAACAAGCGAATGATCGAACGTGTCTCTCCCACGATACCGGTGCACTTTTCACCGAGGTGAGTGCCCGCGTGAGCTTCGCGAATTCGCGATTCCTCTTTCAAGTCATTTCAGTTCAGTTACCGGATCGGATGCATATGTTATGCAGTGTCTTTTCGAAGTGGTCAAAAAGAACGGAGAGAGATAGAAGATAAATGAAAGTGTTGAGTATTTTTAAAACATTACGCGAAGAAAAAAAACGCGCTGACAATCGACATTGCGATAAACTGATAGTAGGTTTTTTCAGCTTTTTTTTACATACCGCAATCTTGTATATCCTTCCAATCTCATCTCTTGTTATTTTCTTTTCCTTTCAATATACTTGATTTATGTCGATTGCAGGAAGAGCATGTGATGTTTAAAAAGAAAACGTAATCTGTGGCGTCTTATCGAGAGATATCATGGACCAACGACAAAAATAGTGATTGAAAAACATCGTCACTAACGGTATTGATATTTTTTTCGAAAGATAAAATATCCTCAACTTTCTTAAGATACATTAAATTATATTCTTGTATGTATAAATGTAAGTGTTAACTGGTGCTGACTCTTCATATCGCTCTCGATGTTAATATACATACATTCGTTTCCTAGTTCATTAACGCGCTAGTTTACGTATAATTTGACTTGCGTTATATAACGTGTGTGACGTTTGTATTTCGCGTTGATCGATCGCTCGAATGTATTCGTGTATGCGGAAAAATGGTATCGACCCATTTTGAAGGATTTATCACTTTATCGATCTATCGATATATCGTTTATATAAAAAAATTGCGTGTTTTTGATATTTCATAATATGAACTAAATTGAATGCACAAATTGTAGTATATATATATATATAGAAATATCGAGTATATGTATAGAATTATTTACGTAGAAACATCGAGTTACATAAAAATATTATAAACTATTATTCTTTATTTTCAGCTTTCATTATTTTATCCCGTCTGCCGTTAAAATATGTAAAAGTTTCCATATCAGTTCTATACAGAAATATAATTAACTAATTACCTTCTTTTAATAAGTTTAGAGTTAATTATATTGTAGAATAGTTAAATCAATATTTTCTTCCATAATAAAGTTTCATTATTACAAGTGCATTAATTCTGTATATTGATTCCGGTGAAACGTGAATAAAGAGCAACAGATCGTAGAAATGGGTAAACTATGTAATTATCTAACTTTAGCTAATGCAGAATTAACTAATTGCATTATTGAATGAACAAATCAATATGTTCCCAATAAAGCACGGGCTGTTTCTGCGAGTGCATTAATTCTATACATCGATTTCTGTGAAAAAGCGAGTAAGGAGGAACGTCCGCGGAAAAAAGTGATGTGGTAATAAATTTATAACATTTATTCGTTATAAATTCACGTTGCATGTACTTGTAACAAATAAAGTTTTTACGATCACCATGTAGTATTGCGGCCTTCTGTTAACGTAAAATTGTAGCCGTGTTGGCCGAAGTAAACGCTGCATAATGCCGCAGAAATATCCTTGAAATAGAACGTGGCCCGATCGATTATTTCATTTCGATAAAGGTCGCGGTTTTCCTTCGCGCCTTTCACTTCATTTCGACTGTTCTTTCGATTACGTTACAGCTACTCGAAGTAGAATTATTCCGCGTTCTCAGCTTTCATAAGCTCGGTGATGTCGAAACTGTTGAGCGTTACGATCGATTTACGTAATGAGGTTCCTAAGCTGAGATATTCCGTATTTTTATAGACTCGAAAAATCTGAGAAGGAGATTGCGAGTCCGAATTTTCCTCTTTGTGAGACGTAAAAAAAATCTAGAACCATGAATAGAGACTTGTAGAATAAAATAAGGAATTTCCAGAATAAGTCAAATTAGAAGTTTTCAAAATAAATCAATTAATAAATGAATTGCTGAATTAGAGTTTGTAAAATAATTTAGCTTTCAATAACGAATTCAAAAAATAACTTAGCTAACAATACGGTATTTATTGTTAATTAATTTAAAAAAAAATTTTTTAACGATAATTATATGAGAAATAATTTTTATCTCTTATCACTATACATTCGTTCATATGCATTTCTTGGACATTTGTTTCTTTAACTCTTTTTATGTATTGAGAAAGCAAAGTCGAATGCGTTCGGGATTCATACGTACAATTCTCTTTGAAATCTTTTTACGTAATTTTGCTAATTCATTCCAAGGCGCGCCGTGAAATTACGATTCCGGCTTCCGTGGCAAGGACGAAGTGCAGGCGAAATTAACGACACGCTTAATGCACTCAACAATTGTGCGAATAACTTCGAGTTCTTGCTGTTGCGGCGCTTGCCGCAAAAACTGAGTCTCGAGTTTATTAACGCAATTTTTATTGCATTATAAATTTATTATTTACAATATGCATTATTTATTATCTATGACTTATTAAAATTTATTTTGCTTAATTGTTATGCGTAGCAAAATTTAATTGACAGCTCGGTGAATTTAATAAAAAATCAACACAAAAGGAGAGAAAAATTTAAATAATTCCTTGTCTTAGAACTCTTTATACCCAATTAAGAATTTTTCCGAGAATTTTTTTAAAGGTTTTAATTTTTAATAGTTTATTTAGCTAAATTTAGATAAAGTAAAATTTCACGGAAAGGAATGAATTCGAGAATTTATCTGAAATTCGCAGGCAATATCGTACTGAAAATCAGGAAGAATAGTTTCGATAGACAACTGACCTAGGTTCAGAGTACGGGAGCGCCTCATAAAATCGATATGTCCTCGACCTCACTTAATACTGCCTTTTTCTGTTTGCCGAAAGATCATTTATATTTATGATAACGGGAAAAATTTATTTGTTAAGTTAAACACAGCGATGTGTTATTAATATTGTTTTCTTACGAATTAGATATAATTACGTAGAATTAGGCAAAATTTTAAGAATCGTGATTGTATATAAATAAATATTTTAATTTTGATTGATATTAAAAGTTTTGTATAAAATTGTCTAAAAAGGTACTAATAGGTATTAATAGGTACAATACTTAACCGTACAATATAAGAGTGTTTACCTAGAGCCATCATCTTATAGCTATCATTGTTTTATTTCTTTTATTATGTTCCTCTTTTTTAACTGTCGTAATGCATATGTTATGAAAATCTATTTTTCTAACTACTTATAATCAGAAGTATTTTATTCATTATTTATTTTTTACTAGACTTCTGTCTATCATCGAGATTATTTCAGTCTTAATATATGCATACATGCACACGGATTTATAAGTGTCTCTAATTGAATATAATATGAACATAATTAACATTTTACTTTATTATTTAAAAAATTATAAAGTAAAATATTAATTATATGAATGTAATTAATACCTTACTTTATTATTTCGAAAATAAAGTAATTCTAATCAATTTACCCGTTATATTTTATTTTATTATAACGATTTTTCGTTCCAAGATTCGTTAGCGAAATTTTTTATCTCAAGATCTCAAAATTTCAAGTTTTTGATTCCTTGGACGATAAACAAGTGCGTTTCTCTTCTCACATCAGGTGATAATTGTCGCGTTGCCAAGATGAACGAGATGGACCGAATGGCTTGTTGCAATGAAGAATCTTTTCTGCAGCCGCTGCAAGCGGTGTACACGGGTCAATCAACTCACGCTACCGCCGTTATTTCGACGTCTCCCGTGACGCCGATACTGGCAACGTGTGTTATCACCGCAGCCGACAAGGTCACTGCCGTAAATACCAATTTTACCCACGTGCCAGATGCCGAATCAGCTGGTAGCCCTAGTAAGTAGGATGGAAATCCTCCACAAAAATCACATCCATATTAATTAGCGACCAGCGTTATTGTTAGACTACATTGTTCTAAATAATCGAGAATTATTTTTTTATATAGCTATATTGTTTGAGAGAGAGAGAGAGAGAGAGAGAGAGAGAGAGACACGACTGATAGAAATCTGAACTTTTTTCTTTTTTTTTCGTTTCACTATATATCTATGTAAATTTTAATTTACTTGACAAATGTGTAAACGCATTGTTTACATGCTTTACGATAGTGTTTTATTCAATTTATAGAATAGTCAAAAGAAGTAATATTTTTTTCTATTGCCAACGTCACTTTCAACGGGTTTTATTCATTATTTATTTTTTATTAGACTTCTGTATATCATTTCTTAAAATTCCAACGCCAAATTTAGACTCGTACGTCTCGAAAAAATTTATTTCCGCATGCCTAAACTATGATTGCGTTTAAAAATTCATGCATCGATAAATTGAATACATAAAGAATGAATAAAAATCTTTTCTAGAATTTAAGAACTTTAGAGTTTATATTTCCACCCGTTTTAACTGTAATTGCGTTTAAGAATTTACAATCGATGAAATATACTCAAGACACAGTAATGAATAAAATTTTTTTAGAAATTAAAAACTATAAAATTTAAAATTTCACAATACTAGTTAAAATCGGCGAGATAAAAAATATTATAAAAATTGCTACACTTTAATCGTAAATATCCTAAGTATATAGAGAACAAACAAAATTTCGAAGACACAGTTTATACTAGAGATGCACCGGATATCCGAAAAATATTTGGTATCCGATATTTTCCGGCACTTTTTTACTATCCGATCGAATAGTCGGATATCATTAGAGAGAGAGTATCCGGAAATATATTCGGTTGAAATTTTATATCATTAAATCGTTGATTTTTTATTATATAAATGTTCTATAAATAAGTATATGCATACTCATAATGTTATAATATCCTACATATTGCTGCAAAATTACAATTTTTTTTCTCTACATTTATCATCTCTATTGATACTAATCAAACTCGAACGATAACATTAAAATTATAATTATTATCACTATTTTTCCCTTATAGTTCCTTTTCCTTTTTGCTCCCTTTTTTTCAGACATTGTCCCGGAATCAGGTCGGATATCTGAAAAATATCGGATATCCGACTCGAAAAACCTTCTTGGATATCCGATGTTACATTCTTTTCGGATATCCAATATTCGATAATTTTACGATCTGATGCATCCCTTATAGTTTATACATATAATTCCAGTTTCATCACCGGAAATGATCTCGTGATTTTATCACATTTGTTGAAAGACGATTCATAATGACAAAAAAAGATTAACTTTAGAAAATTAAAAACTAATTTTTCCGAACTTTTTTAAGGAATACGAGATTACTTCCGAATTCTTTGAGCTTTAAAAGTGTACGCGATGCACAGATCCTTCTCTATAGTCGCTCTCAATCACGATTCCATCTCCTGCTATTGAATTATTAACCGGAATATACCATGAGCAGCTACCACCTCGCCGCCGTCTCCGCTGGACTCCCGTATACCGAGGCCATCGCCGTCGGCTCTGCGTCGCGCCGCGAGCTTGCGCTTGCGCGGCGAACGTCTACCACCACATTATCCGCGATCCACCACTGCCGCTGCAGCCAGCACGGCCCTGCTCGGCCACCAACATCATCCCCGTCGTCACAACCACCTCCTGCAATCGTCGCAGCAGCATCAACATCCGGATCATCGTATTTTCCCGGTCATCACGGAGAATGGAACTGACTCGCCGCGACAACGATCCTTCGTGAGTAAAGACACTGACACGCGTCTCCTCCTTGAGAAATTGTCCTTCTTGAGAAAAGTCCGAAGGAAATTGTCAACTACGCACGTCGCTACGCACTATGTAGAGATCCCTGTTCCGCGTTAAGTTCAAAGTATCGACTACCGTACGATTGCCCGAACGAGGAACCTTGACGTTGAATATAATTTCTTTCGTATTATATAAAGAAGCAAAAATTAAAGAGGTACTCAAATGGTAGCTCTGTAATCCCGGGATTGTATTGCATTAAGGATTGAACGATTTAAAACTAGTAGCACACTGGTAGCACCACGCGTTTTGCTTGTACACTTATGTTTGTTTCAATCAAAATAGATTCAATTTTAATCTCGATTTTCTAAGAACTAAAAAAAGATGAGTAAATTGTACCGAAATTAAAATTAATCTGTTATTGGTAGAATAGTTAGACTAATATAGCATAGAATATTGTGTAGAATGAACTCGATATTCGTTTCCTTATATTTCTTTGTGTCCTTTTACACAACAAGAAGCATATTGAGAGTACCGAAGCGTAGTCTACTATCGTCCGCGTTGAAAGATTCGTTAAGACAAGAACTATAGAAGAAATTGATCTCTGGCTTTTGCGTGTGGCGTACATATGTCAGAATTTCGGTATGGAGACCTTTACTTTTACTCACGTATACCACTACTAGCCGTAACTTCGGGACAGCGTTCAAAGTGCCGTTGATTAACGGGTGATTCGCACGTTAAGCCGTAGTAGTTGGTCTGTGCTCGCCTTTGCGTGACCGTATATCCCGGATATCATTATTCCAAGTGCGGTAAATATAAGAAATCGTCCAACAGGTAGGTAACTCGTTATAAATCCATCCACGTATCGATTTCGATGAACTATCATACATAAGCCGTATCTTACATTTTTTCTAATTCTTTTAAATACTTGAAAATTTTAAAGATAATTGAGAACCATTAACGAAATAATTACACTTTTTCTTAATCCACTTAAGAATCAAGAAATTTTGGAGATAATCAAATCTACTTCTTATTGAAATAATTTTTGATTCAGTTCTAAAGCGCCGTCAAACTGTTTGTATTACTTTCAAATACAATATAGAAATCTGTAATTTTTTCATAATTTTTCTTAAAGACTTGGAAATTTTGAAAATACTCAAGGAATAACAAATTACTATTTTTTAAATTTTGTTTAAGAATTGAGAAATTTTGAATAATCAAAGAACAAAATAGTTAGCTACTTTTTTTTATCCGTTTAAGGATCTAGAAATTTTGGAGATAATTGAGAAATGCTAATGAAATGATTGATAATAATAAATTAAATTAACATGAAGCAATAAACACAAATAGAATTCATATAATACACAGTTCTATTCCTTATATATTTCTAATACCTTTCAATAGCACACATTTATTTTAATTGCACTTTGAAAATGGCATCAACATTTCAAGAGACTTTAAAGATAATCTCTTGTTTGATAGGTTTGCTTTAAGTCTTTAAAAATACTACTTTTCAGTGCTCTTTCCATACTTCAAATAACCAGTGATTCAACTGCGCGATTATATCTATCAATGCGATATCTTTGAATCTCTTGAAAGATTTGAAGCTATTCCCATACTTCAAACAACCATTAATTCAGCGATATGCGATTGTATCTTTCAAATTAATACCACCATATATTGTAAGCGGCATTGTACATTCTATTCCATTCTATTCATACCTGTTTTAATGAATCGAGCTAACGGATGTTGTTAATAAAAAATGATTTATCGTTCACAGAGTCTCTCACTGACACCGGTGAGGCCGCGGCCAGGTCACGCGGCCTCTGGAGGAACAACAGTAGCGGGAGTCAACGACGACAGCGATGCCGAGAGCGTGAAGAGTTATAGCAGTGCTTGCAGCACAGCGAGCGCCTGCGAGCATGCCTCCTTTGCGTTGAATGGCACCACCTGGTCTGGTCGATCGCGAAAATATGTGGTGCATTGCTCGAATTATGTCGGCGATAGCGAACAGTACCTCACGCCTACTCAGAGAGCAGCTAAACAAGTCCGAAAGTTTCAGGTAACATCTTCAAAATGAAAATAACTGCAGATCTTGTTTGTCATTCATCCTGCTCTTAAATTTCTTTATATTAGTGCTTTAACAATATAGTTGAACGCAGTATACAAAATATGCTCTATTTCTGGAATTGAAAATATTATTCGTGATTCTCTGTCTTGAAAAATATAATTTTTATAGAGAGATTAATAATCATTTAATCTAGAATTGACGAAGAGCCAATAACACTCATACGATTAATTATATCGTAAGAAAAATGACTTAAATCGAAATTTTTTAAATTTTGTACCATGTGCAGATTGTGTTTTAAAATACATCCGTTTTCAATCAAATCAGAAAAGGTGAATTTAAATATCTCCCAAAGAAAAATGACACAAAATATAAGGCCAATTTTTAGGGGTAACACATCATAAAAAAATTAATATCATTATCTACATATCTAAAGAATTTGAAATTTGTATAATATCGTAATAAATAATTAATTTTTAAATACACAATTTTCTTTTCTCTCTTAAATAATTTTATATATTTGATTGTGTTACCTTTCTTGTTGGAATACGGTATATGTAAGTGTATATTTATATTTTTCTTAGTAAAATTACGCGGTTATTGATATCTCTATCTCTATGTTCAGGCTTTATTGAAGGAAGCGCGCAAAGAAATCGATGAGAAGGATCGGGAGATCTTGCGTTTGACGAAGGAGGTCGTAGAGTCTCTTACCGTGCGTGAGAACAATCCCTTCTCACCGGAGTCGCCGAGCAAGGATCTTCCTGATGAAGGTGCCGCGGAGAAATCCATCGCCAGTCCGGAAACTCCGGAGAAGCGTGTGCACACAGATCTCCCCTCGTCATTAGCTGACTCCGGACACTTTGAAGATGGTTCCGTCCATTCGAAAGACTCCGTATGCCTGCCTGAGTCGCAGCCGGAGATTACTGTCAACACGACAACGTGTGCTAATACGGTACCCAATGATATTGTTTCCGATGTCAGTCCTGTGACACCAACAAGTGTAGAACGAGATGAAGAGAGGCGTCGATTAGTTAGTCATTACGAAAATAGAATCGAGGATATGCATAGGCGGCACATTGACGAACTGCAGGAGCTCAAACAAAAGCACAATGATAAGGTAGAATCTTTCATTTAATTGGTTTTAATTTTTGCCCCTTTATTTTTCCTGATAATAAAAAGTCATGTTTCATATTATAGGTGGAAAGCTTATTGAATCAACTGTCCGAGGTCAACACTCGGTACTGTGAGGTGCGGCCGGCTATGGATACCGCCGAAGCTCGTGCTCGTGAATTAGAAACGGAATTAGAGGCTGTGAAGACTGAGCTTAATGAACAGAAAACGCTTTTGAATGAACAAGAAGAGAGAAATAAGCAAATGTACCTGAAAATGTATGCCAAAGGTCAAGAAGCCGCGCGCATTGAACAAGCCGATCAGGTATGATCAATATATCGAAAATAAATGTAAGGGTGGAAAATATAAGCAAGATCGACACTAAATACTTTTCATACAATTACAGATATTCGTGCAGGCACATCAATCACCGCCTAAAGTCACCGTTGCAGAATTGCTTCAACAGCTAACTATCACACAAGCTGAGTTAGAGAATATTAAGGTGAGATGTGATTTATTTATAGTCTGCAATCTTAAAAGTTCTGCGTTAACAAGTATAGCGACATAGATTGGTTGAAAATTTTACTCGTTTTGTACAAGACAAGGAATTTTCAATGACTACTAATATTTTTCAAATAAGATTGTTAGTATGATTTTTAAGCGTTTTAACATCGTTTTAAACAGCATTTTAAACAGTTATTAATGACAGTCTTTTTCAGCGAATTTATCATTTTCGTTATCATCAACTAGCTTTCATATTATTAGTTTGCATTTTGCGATATTTGTACACAATAAGTTTTCTATTAGTTCGACATTTGCATTCTTATTTTTCTTGCTTAATCATTAGAATATCTTTTATACTTTCTAGATGCGTTTTACTTAAAGTATATAACGAATTCATATAACTGATTTTCTCACGATTGAGAAAAAGACCGAGATTTGCTAGTGATTAATTATGCTAACACAATAACACGCCTAATAAGGTGAATCTCAGGCGCGTTTTTTTACATAGTCCGATCAGCTTTTACATTTGTTTCGCAGGCATTGTTTATTCATTTCTCACATTTATCACATTTATTACACTTATCAGGCGTGTACATCACATTTCGAGCATCCTCGTAGTTCACAATACTCTCGTACTAACGATGTGCCACTTTTTTTGGTCGCCGCTCACACTCCAGGACACAAGCTACTCGCCTGAACCTCACATTTCAGCCGAACAAAGTTTATTAAGCGCTCAGGAGGCTGTTTCTCTCTGGGTCCTTGGCACACGTAAGGTCTGTATCTTAACTCGGCTGCTACGTGATGACGCAACTCTCATCCACTTTTTATCGCCCATAAAGTAGCAGTTGTTCGCATATATGATGCACCGGTATTCTATCAATGTTTTACTGCATCAAGAGCTGATATTTCGACACACAAATGTAACATTTGTCATGATTCCCTCTTATAAATTCCAAAATTAGTTAAATAGATTGGTATATGTGTATGTATGGACATCTTTTTTGTAACTTGTGTGTTTAAATAATTTATTATTTTGTAACTTCCCAGATAGCAAAACGTTTAAGATCTGTCCACAGAATTTGCTGACATGCTATATCAGCATATTGATGTCAAAAACCGAGCAGAATCAGCACATTAGAGCAATCTGATGGCAGACTGGTAGCAGAAGCCGAGCTGCAACTCCTGTTCAGTTTCTGTCGCCAATTTTTTGCCATAGCATGTCAACAGGCTTGTCATATTTCTGGTGGCAGTTTACTGACATCGTCAAATATTACAGACTGTGTGAAATTTTTTCCCCTTTCTGCTATTAGAAATCGATAGCTTACTCGTTCTGCTCAAAATCTGTCTCCGCAGGCTTGACTATCTGGGTTATTAATTGCACAAGTGTTATTTCAGAGTAATCGTCACACATTCATATAAGTGAAAAGAGTGATGTTAACCCTTCGGGGACAAATCTTGTACATAAGTTATCATAAGACAATCAGTTCTTGAATAAATAAGGGCGTGTGGAAAAGAGCACGATTGCGCTCCTCTTTTTTTCCTTTTCATTCGAGTTAGTGAATGCTTGCTGCAACAATTGCATGCGATCTATGAAGCACAAACGTAGATTTATACTTCTATACGTTGCTCTTAGATCGGGCGATGTTATCCAGTGCACTTGGAAGAAACAGCCTCTTATATCTTCGGGCAATGTAAGTTTTGCACGAGCTTACAGGCAATGCACGCTTTCACCATACTTTCATCATATTGCATAAAACTTGTATACTATATATTTGAATCCAGATAGATCGATTGTTTCCATTTAGTATTAGCTCATTAAAATGTAATATTGCGTTGTCTTAATACAAAATTGATGTATACATACTTTTTAATTACATATGCTGTTTATAATCGTTAAAGTTTATATCTAAATAATATGTTAAATCTTTAAAATAGAAGATACAAATATGTCTAGATTCAAATCTGATAAAATATAATCATATGTATACACAAACAATTATACATTTTTCAATTGTACACTTAATGTTACAATATTTTAACTTAATTCATTAACGAATATATCATTTTGTTTCGACTAGGCAATGTATAGGCGTATTGTAGAGGCGAGAAGCAGTCAAGGTACTCTCGATCCGGAAATTACTCTTCAGTTCCTCAAGTCAGCGATCTACTATTTCCTAACTGATAAGGAGAATCATCACGGTCACTTAAATGCTATTGAAAGTATCTTGGGTTTCACGGATGCGGAAAGACACAACATTGATAGATACTATCGATCGGCGAGAAAATAATATTTAAAAAAAATTTTAATATAGAAAGTATTTTATCATTATATCATTATTGACGACTGGTGTTATAATTATATCAGATTTAACACCTGAATTTTTCGAAATTTTAATTTTTTTGGGTGTCTTTTAAAAGTAAACATTTAAATGTGTCTGAAAAATTTATTTTAAATTGTTGATAGATATTTAAAATATATATCATAAAAGCAATTTGCTCTTACAAAAATTGCTAGCTAATCTATATATATATATATATTACATATATACAATATATATATTATATATATATTTATATATATGGTGTGTAATTTGTAAATAGCTGGCAATTTTAGGAGATTTTTATATTTAAATTTTTGGGATTTAACAGCGTAAATTGTATACATACAGCTTGAATAGACTGAATTTATTTATAACTGTATGTAACATCAGTGCTCTGCGATGGTCATGTATTACGAATTAATATCACGCGTATCGCATAACTTGTGTGCTCTAAAAATTAGTAGATAAAAATCCTAGTTATATTTGAAAAAAATTATATCTAGTTATTGAAAATAATATTTCACTCTTTTAATAATTATTATGCATGCATTGCATCGTAATAAATATATTTCAAAATCGAGCAAAAAATATGTGATATATATAACAAGCTGCTAAGAGTTTCAAGTCGAAAATTTATCTTTATGTATTTATTTGAAATGCATGCCCATCTTTATACGAATGTAAAAAGTTGCATATATCTTTCTCGTTATTACATGGGAATGCTTCGAGTATAGATAAATAAATTTATTTATATATTTACCTGTTATAAATGAAATATATATCTATATACACATATACATGCATATATCAGGATAAGAATTATCAGAGATTTGTCCATCTTTTAGATTTTCAAGTACTTATGTACAAGAAAGTGATTTTGAAAGCAAATGTAGTCAGTGGAAATCATTTTCTTGTACATATGCATAACTCTGAATCATTCTGTATATATTATCTATATCAAAGTCTGGTGACATGACGTCCAGATAAGGTAACTGAATATGGAGACTGAAGGATATATCTTGCCTTTTTATCTGCTCGTAGCTTCAAGTTAAGTAGGTCATGGAAAGTTATAAAAGTGCAACTAATTATTAATGGACGTCAATGAGCACACTTCCTATGTCTTATAATTATAATTATTCATTTTTTATGGGATATTTTTGTGTATTTAAATTAAAACCAAAGAGTAGTGAGAGCAGTTAATTATTGCGAACAAATGTTGGTTTATAATTAAGTTTAATACTTGGCACCAACCACCGGATTAAAGTTACCTTTTGTTATTGAAGTTCTGAATTTGTTCAGCAATAAAAATATCGTAAAATTAGATGTAAGTGATCTTTTTGTCTTTTTAAATCCTTATGTTATGAAATGGAAATAGCATTATATATTATGATATAAAATCAATATAAATGGAAACAATAATTTCTTTAGCACTAAGATTTTTGTATTTCTGAATGAAATTAGTCTGAAAAGTGTATGTCTAAGGTGCCAACAAGTACGAATGTTCATAGCACATACAGATCGCTTTTTTAAGCAACATTCTCCTAATCAATGTTTTATAAATCAAGAAACAGAAATATATTGACAGTAATATCTACTATATCAAAACGTCCAATGTCAAGAAAAGAATATATATATATATATAGTTTCATATAATATATAAGTGCAATGATACATTTCTCAAACTCTGAGATTGTAGATAATATTCATTTTATAATAAAGTTCCTTTATGTGAGTGTTATGATTCGTTAAGCCTAAGTAACCTCGATTATAATTAATAAAATTCGAATGTCATTCCATCGAAAATAATAACAAATAATGCTAAAAATAAGTGCATTTGACACTTTAGCTGTGTTCGATTTTGCAAGTCAGAGGCATCTGTAATCATTCTATTAGTGTTCATCGAATTGATGAATACAGGATAAAATAATTACGGATCTCTCCGATTTGTAAAACCGAACGCAACTTTTAAATAGAATATGGGCGTGATTGTGTTTCTGATACAATATTTCTCGTAAATTTCATAATTACGTACAATAAATTTTACCTGTTTTACATGTTCCTTATTTTTACACTTAACAGTAAGGAACATTACGTCTCCTTACTTTATTCTCACGATCGTCAAGTGTTTTGATTGTACTATTGCAATATGGGAAGAAATAAAAATCTTAAAGCTTTAAATTAAATCTTACCTTATTCCTAACATCACAATTTCATAAGTAATTATTTGATTGAGCAATGTGAAGATGTCATGTAAGGTTTAAATATATTACTATAAAGAATATAAACAATTTTTTTAAAGATTATTTACTAAATTGTATAATACAAAATATATATGATGTATTATTTTCTTCCTGTTATAATTATACCATCGTATTTTTGTTGAAACCACTTGATTGCGTCTTCTTTGGTAAGTCTGTGTTGGAAACCGACTTTACCAGTTTTCCTTCTCCTGTGAGCTACATTAAATCCTGTAAATTAAATTTATATTTTATAATTTATACTAGTACTTATCCTTCATTCTATGAAATTTTCATTATTCTTTTAGTATATTTATGTATTAACATACATATGTAAATATTTATGTAAAATACACATGTAAATGTTTAATTAAAGTGTAGTCTCAATCAAGTAACACACCCAGTAAAATAAAGTGAGCATGAGTTGCAAATATGAAACATTTTTTTTAGCACATTTCAAATGTATAGACATCACTATAAAACAAGGATATCTATGATGCTAATTGTGCAATATTTTATACATTCAATAATATAATGAAAATTGATGATCATTACTAACCTGGACGTCCCAATACAACGTAGAAATCTAATCCATAAATACCGATACTGGGATCATATTTGATTCCCAAGTCGATATGTTCTTGAATACCAAAACCGAAGTTTCCAGTGCAAGAAAAGTTTTCTTTTTTCAATTCATATTCACGTACCTGTAACCAAATAATTAGAATTATAGTATAGATGCAAATTACACACATATGTACAGACTTGAATTTTTACCTTTAAGCCACGTTCCAAAATCTCTTCAGCTTTAGCGCCGCGCACAGTACAATGAACAGCTATTTTTTCGTTACGACGAATACCGAATGAACGTACTGTATACCGAGCTTTAGAAAATACTGGCTGTTGGCCAGTCAGTTGTTCCAAGACCTATGAAAAATTACTTTAAGTTTGAAGATTCAATTGTTAGAAAGATTTCGTTTAAAATAAAAATATGCTTGTATAATCTACCTTGGCAGCACGCGTCAAGCGATCACCAGATTCACCTACGCAAATATTTAGGCATAACTTCCGGATTCGAACTTCACGCATTATATTCTTGGATGCATCTTTAGGCTCCTTTTTCAGCTTCGTCTTCTTTTCAATTTTCTTCCCGGTTTTTTTTTCGGGCACTTTCTTCAACTCCTACAATTGAAATAATTATTCATCTATACTACAAAATTCATTATTAGATAATTTATGAACTAATATTTTAATCTAGCCAGCGTTGATAAAATACATTCTTAATAAATTATCTATATATTAATTAAATTTTTCTTTAAACAATGGAAACAAGAAACTATTCCAAACTTAGTATAAAGTATATATATGACAATACCGATTAAAACAAGCGTGCACTCCTATTCGTTTATTATAGCGATAGTTTCAAATATCAACGCTTTAATAAAAAAATAAACATCATTGATAATTCATGACAGTTTCAGTTATTTCTACGTCATAATTATATTTAACAGAAATAAATGATGTAAGAGATACATGCAGATTAAAGAGAAGTTTCTTCAAGAAAAGTAAACTCACCTCCATTTTGAAGAAAAGAACTGAAAACTGAGAGCTCTGCTGAATTGGCGCGAGTGGCGCCACTAGCGCGAAACAGGTGGAACTAGAGACCCTCTAATCAGAGTCGCGACATCAGACAGCCAGTTTTGATTGGTCCGCCATTTTTCAGCAATTTCCGCCTATAATCAAATATCTATATTGTAGGAATGGGCGATGTGCGTATCGATACGCTAAAATTCGTTTGTAAATTAACCTATTTTGCGAAAAATCAATTTTTCCAACCAAGATGGTGCCATTTTAAACCAATATCTTTACAAAGAATCGTTTCTTTTTTAACAAGGTTAAAAACTTCGTCTACTTCGAATCGATATAATCGATTTTTAGTGTTCCAATACGGATATCGCCCAAAGTATATACATTTGTATTATCGTTAAAATTAAACAAAACAAGATTAAACATTTTTAAGTTATTATTAGATAGATTTCTCACATTATATGTGGAAGTAATATTACTAAAAGAATTATGTTTTATCTTTTTTTTTTATCAAAGTTATGCATTTTTATGCATATGCATTATGCATATTATTCACGAGTTGTCTAATCTACTTATTTTACTTTTTCATTTCTTCAGCGATATCAATTAGAAAACATTCTCTTCTTAAATAAGGCTGTGTTCCATGCATTAGTAGGGAACGTTATTTTTTAAATAAAAAATCGTTACTTCTTGTGATTAAAGTAATAAGAGATATTAGATTAAAAAATTACATTATTCAATAATCAGTATGAATTGTAATAATCGATATAAACCTTAAAACTTTAAGCTAGTTTCTATAATTTATTTCATTGTCCATTTGAATGACATCAGTCTCAAAAATCTTTTAACCTTTCAATTTTTAATTATGTAAATTGTTAATCTTGTTATATATGTGTGTGCGTCATCACAAAAACTGATTTTATTTTTAATGGCAAAAAATTCTATCGTTTTTCACTCTTAGCTTTTCTTATTATATAGTGAAATTTTCTATTTTCACCATAAATATATGAATTAAATCAATTATGTAGTAAAGATTTTTTACTACTTTATTATTTTTATTAAGAAAAAAACGATACAATTTTAAAATGAAATACATATATATATATGCATGTGTGAGGCATATAATTAAATTGTAAATAATTATTGATAAAACTTTTTATGAAGAACGCATATATGTTACAATATACTTATTATTTTTTTCCAGCTATAATGATACCATCATATTTTTGCTGGAACCATTTCATGGCATCTTCTTTGGTAAGACGGTGTTGAAAACCAACTTTACCAGTTTTTCTTCTTCTGTGTGCTACGTTAAATCCTGTAAATAAAAAATACACATTTAATAATATATATACATTCATATATAAAGTATAGAAACTTCTAATTCATTTCTCTTTACTGTATTTACATAAGCATACATAAATATTTTAATATTTAATTAAAGGATAATCTCAATTAGGAATGCAACGAATAATGATTTGTCAGAAAATTGAATACCAGATATATAAATATATTAATATTACCATCAAAGATATCCATTATATGTGTATATATTTCTTGATATTTTATATATAATTATTAATGTACTGATTACTAACCTGGACGTCCAAGTACAACATAGAAGTCTAAGCCATAGATACCAATACTGGGATCATATTTGATTCCTAAGTCAATGTGTTCTTGAATCCCGAAACCAAAGTTTCCAGTACCAGAAAAGTTTTCTTTCTTTAATTCATATTCACGTACCTGTAATCAAATAACATATTAGCATTATAGTAGAAACATAAATTATAGGGTATCTAAAGATTATTTGACTTTTTCACCTTTAGACCACGCTCCAGAATCTCTTCAGCTTTGGCGCCACGTACAGTACAATGCACAGCTATTTTTTCATTACGACGGATACCAAATGAACGTACTGTATACCGAGCTTTGGAAAATACTGGTTGCTGACCGGTCAGTTGTTCCAAGACCTATATGAAAGATTATTATAAGTTTAGAGATTCTCAAGTGTTAGAAATATTTTTATTAAAATAAAATCGTACTTGTAAAATCTACCTTGGCAGCACGCGTTAAGCGATCACCAGACTCGCCTACACAGATGTTTAGACATAACTTCCGAATTCGGACTTCGCGCATTATATTCTTGGATGCATCTTTTGGCTCTTTCTTCGGCTTCTTCTCAAGCTTCTTTTTGAATTTTTCTTCTGAGGTTTTTTTTGTATCCTAATTAATAATAAAGAGCACAAATTATTAAAATCCATGAATTCATTCTTAACCCAAGTACTACTTGACATATATCTGTTAACGTGGATAAAATACATTTTTAATAAATTATTTATGTTGAGACTAATTCATCGAAGTTAAATATAAATGAATCAAGAAATTTCATCGTTGTGCAAATATATTAATGACAATGGTAATATGTTATGAATGCGAAATAAGTGTGAAATTACATGAAATCTCGTTCATTTGACAGGTACAACTGTTAAAATAGATGGCTTTAATAAAAATTTAATATTCTCGATAACTTATAGTATTAGTTATATTCATGTCACAGTGATATTTAATAAAATTAAATAATATAAAAAAACATATAGATCAAAAGAAAAATTAATTCTTTGAAGATTTGAGAGATGCAAAATATGTACCAGTACACTCACCGCCATGTTGGAAAAGAGCAAGACAAGAGAAAAGGGAGTAAACAACTGACAGAGTACCGCAAGACCGCAAGTGGCTATGGACAGAAAGAAACTTGAGAGCAGCCCTTCCAACCTTTTTCGTTGACGCTCCTCGTACACTAACGGCACCAACATAATTTTTATGAAAACTACGTATCACATTATCGACACTGTTGATAAATATCGAAAATTGTGGTTCTTGTCTGTGCTACATCCACAATTATAAAGATAATATGCAATTATAAACATAATATAAAATTTACTAAACTTTTTCAGAATTTTTATAACACATTTTGTTTCACATCATAATTAAAATTGTAATAAATTTAACGATTGGAAAAATTAATTCAGAAATATGGAATTAATACAGTGCAAAATTGGAACATAAATATCGTTATAAATTATAAAATATTAAAGTTTAAATTATCATTTTAAATTAATTCTGTTAAGTTCTAAAATTTTACTTCTTTTAAACAAATAAAAATCAATTTAAATACATAAAAAAGTATTATAAAAAGCTTATTTGTAAATATTTATTTGTGATAGATGAAAAATGCTGCAACTTGTAAGAGAGAAACTGAGAATATTAATATTTAAATATATTTATTGTTCAATTTGGAGGTATGACATATCTCTACTTGCCATAGATCTAATTAAAATGATTACATAGCACCTTTAACAAAGGGCTTGTTGTAAACATATATGCTTGTCAAACGTAGTTGTCCGATCGAACAAATCATGGCGAATTACGTACCGCGTGATTAATGAAAATAAGCTTACGAAATTCAAGTACACGTGCCAGCATAAATATATCACAATTCAAAATAAAATCTTGGATATCAAACAAAAATTTTACGCTTACTAAGGCCTCTCTCTCTCTCTCTCTCTCTCAATCTCAGTATATATAGTCTATCAGACATTAGTGTACACAATCACGTAATAATACACTCCTTTTATTCTTAGCTATACAACAATTGCACATTTCTCGAGGAAATATTGTTCATCGATATGGTTCTTTAAACATAATTATGAAAATTAATTTATTTGTTGCTTTATGATACGCAATCGTGTTTCCTTCTGTTTATTATGAAAACTGAATGCGAAATTTTTTTTTGGGTAATCTACCTAAAATATAGATTGTAATCACTCGAATAAATTACACAGAAAATTTTTTATTTTCACATTAAATTTACTTGTTATGCATTATCTTGCGTACTTTTTTATAATTTCTATCAGTTTTCATAGAAAACCAGAATCATTTTTCTTTATTCCCAATATCCTTCGTTGTTCATTCCGTTAAATAGTCGTATGTACATTCATTTGATTTTATCGTAATGTTTGTCGAAACAATGCAGCTCTTCAATCATGCTCAAGAAAATTAATCTATTGATTTGTGTGACAGTCATGTATCATTCATTTATTTTAGTGAAAACTGAATGTAAAATTGGTTTGGATGATCCATTTCATTGTGTAAAATCTGTTAAATAAATTACGCCATAAAGTTCATTTTCATATTTGTTTCCGCGCGTACTTCCTTTTACTCTTATATTTTATACCTTGTTTTGCGTAATGCATTTTCTCTATTAATTCCACCTGTTTTCATAAGAAATCAACACGAATCTATGTCGGAATGCTTTCCCCGTTATTCATTCTGTTAAATAGTTGCGCACTCATGCAATTTTACCATAATTACCCAGATAGCAAAGCGTGTCTCAGCAAAATCACACAAATCTGTGATTGCTTATGATGTTGGCAACTTGTCATAGATTTGTCTTCAACGATTTCGAATATATCGACATTGTAACAACATGCAGGCAACAATGTGTATATGTATTGCCAGCAGTTTAACAGCAAGATAGCTGCATCAATGTTATCTTGTGTTGTCGACAATATGAAAGCATTGCATGATGCTGCATATTATTATGGCAACATGATGGCAGTAGTGCGAATTTTGATGATGACGATTTTAAAGTTGTCGGCAAATTGCTGGCAAGTTGCTACTCAAAGTTATCATATCATGAAGGTATCAAGTTGCCAACAAATGAGGACTCAGTTGTTGCAATTCTAGCAACACATGCTTAGCAATGCATACTTAGCAAGCAACATGTCAGCAACAAGATAGACACGTTGCTATCTGGATATACTAATATTTGATCCTTATTAATGTCCTTATTATACGTCATAACGATGAAGATATGGTATTATTCCTTATTTAAGAGAGAAATCTACGCAAACGATCGCAATTAAAAAAAAAAAAGATTCTTAATGCTAAAATTTTCCTCTATCGAATGGTATATGTATATATAATTGCCAATATTCTTTTGAAAATAGAATATATATAAAATTGTTTTATTCCACTCTGAAAAACTGAATGAACTTATTTGCCAATACAATACAAAGCATGATTGTAATAAAACATGTCATTTCGCTTTCTCTCTCTCTCTCTCTCTCCGTCAGTCGCTCTATTTACAGTACATACGCAGCCATTCCACTGCGATTTCTTTCCGGCTAGCTCTAGGCCTCTCGAATGATTAGAACAATGCAGGGAGATGTCGGCGGAAATGCAAACGAGGCAGGATAGCTACACGTTATTTTCCAATTTAATTTATTAATTTGTACGTCTATGTACAAGGCTGCATCGAGCTAAACACTCTTCTCTATAATACACATTACATGTCCTGTTATGTAAGATTCAGACCCACTTGCAGGAAACGAAATTGCAATAAATTACGAAGTTACGCGAAAGAAATCGCCAAGGAAAAAAAGAATGAATGTGAGGCGCTTTACCACTGCATTTCCTTCAACTATGTACAGTACATATTTATAAATTAACGCTAAATGCACAATCTTCCGCGTGCAAAGACTGACAATAGCATTGACGATGCTACTACGATTACTCGTCGTCACCAAGCGTACGCTAAAGAAAATAAATAAGCACCATAATTTGACTTTGTGCTAAATTACATAAAATAATGCATTATAGTACGTTGCACCATTCTCAGCGTCCTCCCTGACCTTTGTATACTAATTGTTTACATTGCATTGGTAATAACAACCTATTCTTCAGTCATTAACTACAAATATACGATATTTTAATTTCATATAACTACTTTGCCATTATAGTTGCCTTAATTTGTTTTTTATTTCTGTTCCTTCGTATGTATTATTGGAAATATATTTCAATCTTTAACTATGTAAGAATATGAACTGCACTAAATAATCAGTATATTTTATAATATTGAGCGAAGTGTTCCCAAGTGTAAAAATTATTTGATCTATCAAATTTGCGCGAAAAAGTGTGAATATTTATCAACTATAAATATATTGATATAGTATGTACTAACTCGCAAAAAATAAATAAAGAAACTAAGATTAAAAGCTACAGCTTTTTACAGTTTGGGTAATTTTACTACCATACACATATCTTTTTATAAAAATGATACTTAAATATGTTGTTAATCTTTTTTGGCTTTTGAAAAAGAAATTATATACTAAAGAAAAAATTCATTTAATAAGAAGTTTATATCGATTTTCATATGTACTTCTAATTTAACGTAACAGACTGATGACTTATATTATCAATTATATATATCTTGCTTCTTAAATTTTTTCGTCACTAAATACAATGCGTAAATATTACTACGTAAATTAACTAGCAGTCCATAGATACATAGTCGAAGATCTTAATATACAATCACAAATTAAAATAATCTTTTGTCTTTATTTAAGCTAATGTTTGCAGATGTCTTCACGTATCACAAACTATCAAAAAACCCAGCCTTCTGTCTATTCCGCTCTTAATTCATTATAAATTTTAAAATAAAATTTTAAATGTATAATAATTTCGCTGTAGAGTATATTCCGCCCTTCTATATTTGTCTCACATTTAAGTCAAGATTTTTAAGTCAAGGATAAAACTTAAAATACAATATTTATTATATAGAATATTTAGCAACCTCTGATTTATCTTATTAACGTTAACACTTTCATGATTATTTACAGCGATTCATCACATTAGATTCAAAAATTGTTGTACGAATTAGCGAATACATCCAAGTCTAGACAATCAATAATACTGGCGACAGGAGCATATCGTGTACTAAAGTAATGCCGCATGAACTGAAATTTTCAGGTAATAAAAAAACGAGCTCTTTTTCTGCGAATATGTTAAAAAATAATTCGCTGGAATTGATTGGTTTGTCCCCTATCCCATTATAGATTCTACAAAATATTCACAATAAGCCACCTTTACGACCAAAAAGAAGCGAGCTTATTGCTCCCAATGCCGACTGTTTGGATTCTTTAGTTACAGGCGTCGGAATTGGTGGCTTAACTCTACCCAGATCGGGCCTCGTCGCTCTAGTACCCGATCGTCGTTGTCGATCCGGTGACTGACCCGTTGCTCTCGAGTTAAATGCATTGGAACCAGACACGCTTGGTTCAGGCTCCTTGCTGTCATCCCGTTTACCCGGCAATAATGATGATTTGCTCGGCGGAAATTCGTCACTAGTGGAGGATGTTGAAGACAAAGGAGATATTAACTTCTCTTGGCTGGTACTGGAGGACATCGAAGTTTTGAGGAAAGTCAATTGTGCCATTGGACTTCCAGTCGAACGACGCGTATACAAAGCACCTTGTAGAGCTAACGGTGAAATTGACGAGCTGGCTGTAGTGGCTATGATCGTATCAATACCAATTCTCTCCAATTTCTCCACTAGACGTATCCCCGTGAGAGCTTTTTTGTCGGAGCGCGAGATCGTCGACTTTGGTCTCTTTTTCTTAACTTGCACTGGCGCTGGCGGCTCATAACTGAAAGTACGCCTTAGTAATTCCGCCCCGGTGCTGAGCAGTCCCAATGTCAACGAGGCGGCGCTCTCCGGTGCTGGTGATGATGACCTTGTGGGTGACAGACTCGCATCTGGACTGTTGCACGGTGTAGCAGTCGGTGAGAAATTCCGATCGTCAGTAGGCGTGCCTATGCACGAGGGCGTAACGGCTTTGATTCCTCTTTCGTTCAGCATCTTAGCCAATCCAAGCGTAGTGGAAAACGTTGATGTTGAATTGCGACGGCTGTGCGTGCGAGGGGTGCTCATACCGGAATTCATACCACTATTGGGCGCCGAAGCGACGCGACTACTAACGATGCTTGGCGTCACGCTGCTGGTGGTATGATCATCCGGATGCATTACGGTACTATTAGTAAATGTATAAATCGAGCCGGTGTCTTGGAACGGTTTACCAGGATTAGTGTACTCCTCATCTTCCTCCAAATCGCTCAATGTAAACGTTATAAGACCAAGATCTTCGAGAGCACGACCACCTCTAGTCTTTACGCCTGGTCTGTCTTCCAGCAATCCACCTAATGTTGGCGTCGCCAGACGTGACCAATGATGCAACGTCTGAGAGCCCTCCATTGGTTTGACTATCTGCAATTTCTGTGGAATACGCCAAGCATTGCCACTGTTGCCGCTGTAGCCGCTTAGGTTGCCGCTACTGCCAGTCGACATAATGCTGTCCGGAGTGCGACAATCAAAAGGCAAGAAGGTTGGCGGGGAATGTAATATGCCACCGTCGTAATCGTAACTATAACCAGCACCTGTACTGAGACATGCACGTCTTGCTAATACTTCCGCAGGTGTCAGACGACGTATAGCGGCTTCTAGATCAGCAGCACCAGGAGCACCAGGTACACCCGTTCGTTGTGGTCCCCTGAAACGCAGCAGAGTTTCACTGAATATATAAGAAGATCAATTCGTACATTTTTATAAAGAGTTGGATACACACGGATAATCCTCCGATTCGATGAGCAAGGATCCTTCGCTCTCACTATGACCGGTAGAATCCAAACTGGGAAATGTAGATGCTTGCGGTCGCACTTGCCCACAACTCATTCGCGGACCAACAGAACTGCTGGATAATGTCGATGTCGTCATGGAATTTAACCTAGGAAACTGATTGGGATCCATTCCCGCATGTGTTGCTCGAGATGCTGTACGAACAGTCTCAAATACTTTCTTGTAGGTTGGACTATAGAATAAATGCAATACGAATTATTTGATTAACTGCTAAGTAATTATCGATACTATAATTATAATTCAAATATCTGAGAATGTATTGTGTGAGTGCATGTGTGTCTAACACGCACGCGCATGTGTATTCAATTAGTTATTTAATTTCAAATAATAACAGATTATTAAATGCATCTTTGTAACGTACATTCTATCACCAGCACCAATTCCAGAGTCAATGCTTAATTCTGAGTAAAGGGACGATTCCAATTCAGAAGCGATAGAATCCGGTTGTCGGCATTCCGCGTTTTCTCTGTTTTCGTAACTGTTCTTGTGTTTCGGCTAATAAGTTCACCACCTGATAACATGCATGATACAGATTTATTATTACGATACAATTTATACGAACAAAATATAATAATTCAGATCTTAATGTATTTATTGTTGAATTATTTTTCATTTATACACGATTCTCGCATAAAAAGCTTCAACGGAATAATTAATTAATCTATTTTGTTTTCTCATATTTATAAAAACATACCTCCGCGTATCGTTCTTTGAATTCGGCTAATTCAGCGGCAAGTGTATTTTGATTATCCCTAGTGATGACTAGAGTCGCTCCCACTTCGTCATGCTCCGCCATCAGCTGAGCGAGCCTAAGCTCTGTCTCAGCTAATTTTGCAGTAAGACTAATTATTTGCTCATGCTGCAGTCGATTCTCATCTTTTTGCCGCCCAAGCTCTTCCGCTATACCATCCACCTCCATATTGGCGTTTGCTGTTATTTGACAGAAATAATTTAACAATATTTTAGCTTTATTATGTCTAATGTTCATACAATTATTAATTAAAGTTATTTAATTTAGCCAAAATTATTAAAGCGTTATGTAATATGCAATATAAAAAATGCATTACAAGTAAATACATTTAAATATAGAAATAAATAAATATACGATGGTATACCTAATTGCGCTGCGATATCTTTTACAAGGCGTGCCTCCTCTTCTTCGGAATTGTCGGCATCATGAACTAATTTCACGAACTCGCCGCGGAGCTGCTTATTTTCATCTTCCAAAGAGGTAACCTTTCTTTGTAACATCTCCAAATTAATGCCGCGTAGGCCGGTGGGAGTTCCGGCTTCTGAGCTAGATTCGTCCACATCGTTCGTCAGTACCTGTATCAGCTCGGTCTTCTTCAATACTTCATGGTTCAACTGAGTAATTTTCTCGTTCGCTTCCTTAAGTTCACCTTCTAATGCGTTTACTGTGGTTTCGAGCTTCTGATTGTGTGCCAGTAATTCTTTGCCGATGCGCGCTGTAAGTTCCAAGTCTTTTTCTTTCTGTCGAAAAAAAAAACGTAGCTATTTGTCATTTGTTGTTATTATTATTATAGTAATTAAAATTTTCTTTATAATTATTACTAATTTATTGTCAAAATAGCTTTAATAATATTCTTTGCAAAGCTTATATACTTTTATCAGTACACTTTTACAAGACCTAAGAGAGTTTCTAATAGCTGTCTTTAAATTGATAAAACTTGAGTATATTCATGAGTATATCTTCTGAATTATTATTGAATAATTCAGGAGAATATGAAAAGAATATAAAAACACATTTCAAATAAAATTCTAATAACTTGACAGCAGCCCAATTATATATTCTTGAGTTCTAATTACGAGTTCCAATTACATAACTGTTTACAGGTCATTTAAATGGTCACCACTTATCGGTTTGTTACGTTTTATCGATTTGTTCCAGACGTCTCGTTAATATTTTTAGATACGGACATTTATGATTTATAAAATTTTAACGACCCGATATGCACAGCGCTTAGTTGCTACTAGCTCTTGCTTCCTGGTCAGACTTACCTCCTCTAGAAGCCTTGTAACTGCCTCTATATCATTATAGGTCTTTGTCATTTGGCTCACCCGGTTGCTACATAAGACTGTAACAGAATGATGATTTGTTATTAAAACTGCTGTGGAATAAAAGAGCTTTTTTTTAAAAAAAGAAATAACAATAAAGCACAGATATATGTGTGCAGAAAGGCCGGACCATTGCATTTAAGCTCTGAAGACAATAAGCAAGACTTTAATAGACTTTTTTTCAACTATTATACTTTTTATCCTCTCTTATACAAAAAAATATTACAATATATCTCTACTTAAATATGTTTTCGTATATTACTAATATAATTAAAGTTGTTACATGCATATATTGAGATTTTTTTATTTTTAATCTGTGCCTTTATTGTGGTATAATAGTCCACTTTTATTTAAAAATAAATTTTTTAACATCCATTTAATTTTTTATTTTTATTTTTAATCTCATAAAGTTTGAACTATTTTTATGTTATACATTTATATTATAAATACGTCAATTTTGTGCAATTTTTAATATTAATTCTATATTCTATCAAATATGAACCATATATAGAATTGAATGTGCAATGCAATTCTCTTCTGACTTGTGCAGTGTGCACACAATCGATGTGCACACAAAAGATATAGTATTATGTTTCTTTTGTTAAACGATATTTCGCGCACAATCCATTTGCGTATCGATGGCATTGCGGACAGTGATTGAAATCGATAAAATTTCAGCGAGTTCAGCATTCAATGTAATTAGACACGCGAAATTTCTTATTCGTGATGATAGAACTGCACCGAATAAAGTAAATGTCAACTTTTCTTTACTCGCAATATCGAAAAGTCGAATCATTATACTGATTCAAATTCTTTTACTTTGAAATATGAAATAGGATTTGTTACATACATAAATGGAAGCTTCATTCTTCTCGAAAGTGAGCTGAGTAACAAGATAATCTTCAGACTAGATCTTCACGTATATATTATTGTCTTATATTTTATTATCATATAATCGATTTTCTACTATTTATAATCCCCCACGCAACGATTTGAAACGTGGGTTATTCTATTTCGAATAAGCAAAACGCAAATCCTGATTAAATATTCATACATTCTTTGACGAGAAAAAAAAACTCGTCGATTAACTTCAATTATTTAACAAAAAAAAAGGATAGATATTTTTACTTTGATCCATATATGGAAATGATATTTTAATATTGCGGTGATTTACAATTAACTTAATAATTCTACACGGAAAGAACGGTTTTGTTAAAGTAATTAAAAATTTAAGCTACATTTAGATCCGAAAATAATTTTGTTGGCTCATCAAAATAATTATGTTAATACTGGTTACTAGAATGTCAAAACTTGCAACATTGCTCATCGTGTTTGAATGTCCTACATAATTATTTACAATCCCACAAAATTATTTTCAGATCTGTATTTAGCTAAATTTTTAGTTACTTCAACAAAATCGTTTTTTCCATGTAAGCTTTATTAGCATAGATATCATCAATTAACAAGAAAATACAGAAAAGTGTTTCCATTCGATTTTGAACTTTCAATATGTTGTCTACAGTCTAGACCTAAATAAGACATTCTTTTTTACGGAGCAAAACAGCCCTTTAAAGAAAATAAATTGTCTTTTTGTTATCAATAATTCTTAATATCATAAATTCCCTTCAATATAAATATTGTTCTGTAAAATATAATTTTACATAATTATGTTTAACGTTTCGACGATCTTTTATTTGAATAATGTAGTTTATTAACATTAAAAAGATTGTTTGCAATAATGCGATATATTTCTGATTACCTGAGGTCGTCAAATTAAAGGATTCTGGCACGTATTTCATACATTCGGAACAATTACGGTCTCGCAACGTGAATGCACTAAAAGTACGCGCGAGCATTTCTTCTAAAAAGATCCCAACAACGTGGGAGCTTCAGACATTCAAAACTTGGCCGGGTCCACTTCATGGAAATCGTTAGTCTCCATAAACAGTCTTGTTACGTTCTTGATTTTTTCATAAATTGTCGAAGGAATTCTAAGTACAGACAATTTTAATGCACTTGACATTCTCACGATGTTTCACTCGCGGCTTCTCTAGATCAACTGAGTCAAAAGTCTCTCTCTCTATAACATTACCTTACTCGTTAAGAGTTTTCACGAGAAAGAAATGAAACGAAATCTCAAGCAGCGAGCAACAGATACTGGTGCGGCAATACCCAGCAGCTGATCGCTTGTTCCGCGCACTAGACGGACTGTTGTGGAAAATTGTAGGTGGAAACCCACGATCTCGTGTCACACGCTCGGAAGATGATGCGACCAGATGCGACTTTAATGAGACTGACGAGAAAACATGGCACGCGAACGAGAGGAACGCGAAAGCGTGGAGACGGAATGCTCGCGTTGCACGAAAGTCTCTTGCATCCCTTCTATCGATCGGCTTTGGCGCATCCCGTCAGTCGGACCGGCCGGCCATCGAAAGGCGCAGACGCATTCACGACCAAGGTCGCTTTCCAAAACTCTACTCAAAGTCACAATTATAGGATAGGAAAATGAATGGGGAATAGATTAAGTCGAGATAAATTACTATAAATTCGTGCGCCGCAAACGAATTTAGAATGAGAAAGTGAAGACACTCGAAAGCACTTGGAAATCGAAAGGGATCAACTTCAGGAAGAAGTAGATGTTTCACGTTTTGACGAGCTTCACGTTTTTGTGATTTAGAAATCTGGAATTTTGGTAGCAGATAGTTCTGAACTATTCATTATTTTATTTCTGTATAATGAGAGTTAGTTGTTAGGGAGATTTAAAGGGATAACTCATTAAATTCTTGGTTGGAAGGAAATAGAGTTGGAAGCTCTATCCTATCAAGAAGATGCACTAGATTAATTGCGCATTAAATCCGTTATCATTTTATAAGTTCCAGTATATACTCTATAAAATCTTTGGTATGAAATCTAACTCTAAAGAGTGAAATCTCACTCTTAAAAATTGACAATTGAGCCACTCTTTTTCAATACTGACTCAACTGTCACTCTTTGTCACATTCTTTAGAATTAGATTATACTCCAAAGATTTTAGAGAGTACACGAAAGGAAAGATCTTGTTGAAGTATCTAGGATCTAATAGATCCAGATCTGAAAATAATTTTGTTGGACCAAAATAATTATGTACGAAGTTAAAGTATGATGAATAATGCAACAAAAATTTTGATATTCTAGCAATCAGCTTAAGTGTTTTACATGATTATTTTGATAGTCCAACAAAATTATTTTCAGATCAAAATTTTTAAATATTTCAATAAAATCGTTTTTTTCGTATAGTATCTATAATTTTATAGTAATAGAGGTAAGATGAACGCAGTACTGTATATATTTTTCATATCTTTATCTTTTAAAGAAATGTATTTCACATTTTGTTATAATATTAAATATATTATATGTGTATAAAAGTGAAATAAGACTACGGAATAGACTTGAGATTATATGCTTCGACAAGGTAGATGTTTCACGAGTGTCTTCATAAAGTAATTGGTTCATGAGCGAATTTGCAATTTTTTTCTATTGAAAAGATACTTGTTTATCGTAACAATACTGAAGAAGCGAGACTAAATGAATGTAATGGGGCACTTTCAATTCCAACGAGAGGCGCTTCGATACCCACCACTGCATTTCGAACAGATTCCTCGTCATCTTCATGACGACGCGGCATCTTCACGAGCGAATTACGTTAAGACACTTTCAAGGTCAATTGATCACGATGATCGATGAGCGAATTTGCAGAAAGTGCCGCGGATACTTCGACTTGAACGAAGTGTTGATGTTAAAAAAAGAATTAAAAATAAACCGGGAGGAGAAAATATATATAATATATGTATATCACAGATATGTTTGTGAAAAAATAAAATGGAAATCTTTGTTTGAAAGCTTTAAATTCCTCAAGAGCTTGAGAATTCCAATGTCAATTTGTAAATGTAACTTTAATATTTCTTTTTAGGCATTTTCTTTTGTATGTATTTTTTTATAGCGCGCCTGTTTCATAAGAAGGTGAGATCGAGATTTATGAAATCGTTTGCGACCTTGTAATATTTTTATCGTAGAACAAAATATAATAGCGCGTTTTCGATAGCTTTTATAATTCACTTTATGTAAAACAGTAAGATTAGAAACCACGGACCGTGTAGTTAAAATATTATTCTAACTCAGAAGGCTACGGAATTTTATTCTTCATGACAGATGTTGAATCATTATTTCGCTAGACTTAATTGAAAATATAACTTGGAATTAATATAAATATATTTTCTCTGTTGCATGAATTTACTGGAATTTTATTGCGTTTCGTTGCACGCTACTGTGTATTTATCGCAAATTAAATTATTTTAATCTGCACATCTAGTAAGTATAATCATCCCCTACACCTCTTGGATAATTTCCTACATCACGTTACGTATCGATGAAGGATTAATTAATCAAACAAAATATATTGATTATTCATCAAAGATAATATTATTAAAAATAAGCACTATCTTGATTAAAATCCGTTTATTTTAATCGTGTGAATTTAGATAACGACAAATATTTCACCTTTACTTATCGAAGATACTAAACCTCGAATTGTAGTCTGGAATTTATATCCCGCGATATGCCAGTTATTCCGTACGGAGCTTTAAAACCAGTCTGGACTCTTTTTTTTTTATTCACAAAGGGACGACGCGAACTCGTCGATCTGGTACGATCGGAATGCAGATAAACCTTCTCATGCCGGAAAATCATGAAGATGCACGCAAATAGCATCCTGCGTTAATTCGTTCGCGCATCATGTAAAAAGAAAATTGGCTATTTCCGGAAAAACACCAATTACCTAATACTTCCATAGAAAAGATACAATATTGAATTAATGAAAAAATATAAATTTTTTTCATTTTGCAAGTACTGACAGTATCCTTTTAAAATGTTGTTATCAATATCTTTGTTATAATACTGTGATCGTGAAATAAATTTTACAAAAGCGTATCTGTAAGCAAAGCGGTAGCACGTGCAACAAAAATAAAAATATTTTCACATATAGTAGTAATATTATAAAAAAACAAATTTGCAAAAATTTACAAAAATAAACATATAAAAATAAAGTGCGCAATAAATATTCGCAAAAAAAGAATAAATAAGTAAATGACCTCATTACATAGCTTCATTATATCTTATCTAATTTTATTGAGACTATTATTTATTGTCAGTATACAATATTCTTTATCTAACGTACGTGCATTGTACCATCTACGTTTAAATCTAAGCCGTGTAATTTCAAGCCATCCCTGTTGGACGTAAATATTTTCAAAAGCAATGATCATGTGAGTACTAAAGTCCAAAGCGGAGAATGAGACGTTTAAAACGTGAAAAAAATGCACGTTGAAGAGACAGATGACGAGGACACCACTTAGAAAAGTTCACACTGCGCCAGATACACGTAATTATTAACTCGTTAAATACTAAATATATACAAATTAAACCTGCGGATACAAAAAGTAGGTTTGCGTGCTGTCACTTGTATTATTATCATGGATTACGAAAGTATACCCCATAATGTCGCATCAATGACCAGAATACAAAGAATCACAGTGACAAGAGAAAGTCTACAGTTACGTAATTTATAATGTCTGCTAATCAATATAAAAGCTATCAAATATAAAAAATCGATTGGTCCGAGAACCACCTTTATCAACTTTAAGACATATGAACATATAACACGAGTTTAATATGCTTGGGTTTCTATAAAAATATTTGCATTTAATATTTGCACGATCCTCTACTTTAATTTAATTATGTAAAAATTGTAGAAATTGATAGAAATAAAGAAAATGCACACGGTATATAAACTGAGAAAGATTTCTAAACAATTCAATTAAAAAAATCGATTAATTTCCATTATATGTATAACTATTATACATTATTGATTTCTTGTTCAATCGTCGTGTCGTAATGTCAGCTGTAATATCGATGTAATGACGGACAATTTAACGCTGTAATTCTGACGCAGTGCGAACGTAAACGACACATCAATCAGGACAACAAAACGGGGTTACTGACAGGAAGTGCACGTGCAGGATGCCTCCGATGGCGAACCGAGGAGGAACAACGGCAAGCCCTCGACGGTACAGCCCTTGCATCCCCAGCAAGGCGCACTGATTTTCGTTGTCGGCACAGAGGAACCCGAGACGAGATAATTCGCTGCTTCGAACAAGGATATACACTCATCGTCGTCGTCACTGTCGATGTCGTGATGCTCGCCGGAAGTCGTCGGCGGTCTGATGTCATCGTCGTACTCGTACGGATCATCCTCCTGCGGATCGTCGTGATCGCGGTCGGTCTCTTCCGGCTCCACGACGTCCGGCGTCAGCGTCCTCTCTTCGCGAGCCGCGGTTTTCTCCTCCAGGGTATACACGGGGTCCGTGGACCAGTTCCGATACCAAGAGCTGTTGTAAATAGTCTTTCATGCCGACGCGCTTTCGCGATTGTATGATGATTCGCGTAGGGAATAAAAAAGAAAAAAATGATCTAACATATGATAAGGAACCAATTGTTATCTAATGCGTCTGCACCCAAATTGCAAGTAATAATTGTGTGTGTATATATATATATACTATACAGGGTGACCCATGTAAAGTGTTACAAGCTATTATCTCTGAAAGTGTGTGTCAAATGACTAATATGTTCAGATAAAAGTTTTATGACTTTGAGGAGAGCATAAGATGATACCATTTGTTTGACCTTGGGTAGCGTTGTCAAAGTGAGAGCAAGGCTACTTTGAATTTTTTAATTTTCTTTATATATATATATAACTCGAAAAGTACTTAATGAAAATGAACTTAATATATATTATAGTGTTTTGGAAAGCTTTTAAGGTAAGCTGCAAGAATATGTAATAAAAATGGGGGGAGGGGGGCATTTAAAAAATTCAAAGTGGCCTTGCTCTCACTTTGACAACGCTACCCAAGGTCAAACAAATGGTACCATCTTATGCTCTCCTCAAAGTTATAAAACTTTTGTCTGAACATATTAGTCATTTGACACACACTTTCAGAGATAATAGCTTGTAACACTTTACATGGGCTATCCTGTATATATAGAAATATACAGGGTGTTTCCAAATTAAATGGCAAAACTTCGGGAGCGTGTAGAGGAGTAAAAAACTAAGAAAAAAAGTCCTATAGACATATGCTCGTTTTTGCTCCGTTTCAGAGAAATCGAAAAAAAATGTTTACATTTCTTGCCATATCTAGCACCGACATATTTGATTACATTTTCCACTTTCTGTTATGAATTTGTCAGTCGCTCTTTGAAAGCCTTTAACAGTAGATGAATTTTGTCTTTTGCAATATGCCGCGTACGTATTCTAATAGTGAATATGCTGATATGGTTTTTGTATACGGTTTCTGCAACGGTAATGCTTTAAAGGCGGTGCGAGAATATGCACGACGATTTCCAAACAGAAGAGTGCCAAACCGAAGAGTGTTTATGTTGACATTTAATAGATTGCGAGAGACTGGATCATTTTCAATTCGACAAGAAAACAACCGATTTCAAGCAGCGTTACGAAGAGATTTGCAGGCAGGGAATCGTATTTTACAACATTTTGACAATCATCCTGAGACCAGCGTTCGGAATGCGTCGGCTGTATTGGGAGTGTCACCACAAACAATTTGGCGAACTGTAAAAGGAGATAATCGCTATCCCTACCACATTCAAAAAGTGCAAAATTTATTA